GGGCTGCAGGAGCGGGGAAGAAAGGGGGTTTTGCAAGCCAGGACGCTCCAGCTGCCCCCAAACCTGCGGGGCCCCTTCCTTTGCAGAGGCCGCGGGCCACGTGAGCGCGGTGCTGGCGGCCCTGGCTGTGCTGGGGCTCCTGGCGCTTTTGGCCGTGCTCTACGTCAAGTGTCGTCTGAGCGCGCTCCTCTGGTACCGGGACCGCTATGGGGAGCTGGAGATCAACGGTGAGCCCACGGGTGGGCACGGAGGGGCGTTTGCGGGCGCTGCTGAGTGTTAGCTGCACGTTGCCTCCCACTCCGTCCCTCCTGGGGTGGTGAGCACCCAAGTCGGGGGGTGGCACCTGTGTCCCTGCACCTGTGTCCCAGCACCGTGGCGGGCACATTGCCTCTGGGGCCAAAGGCAGGAGCCACCGGGGCCAGCTCCTCCTTAGCGTTATTCCTCCCTTTTCCCGGGGCCTCCCTGGGTGCTTGGCGCAGATGGGAAGCTCTACGATGCCTACGTGTCCCACGCCAACACCCCCGACGACAAGAAGTTTGTCCACTTCATCATGAAGCCGCAGCTGGAGAATCGGCATGGCTACAAGCTCTTCCTGGACGATAGAACCATCCTGTCCAACTCAGGTAAGGACGGGCCGAAGCGTGATGCCGGTTGCCATGACCAAGGGCAGGGACGTGCCCGGAGCGCGCTGCGGATGCCCGACTGCTCTCGTGCTGCCCTCGCAGAGCCTTCGGCAGACCTTGTCATGAACGTGAGCCGGTGCCGGCGCCTCATTGTGGTCCTCTCGCTGGCGTATCTGGAGCAAGAGTGGTGCCACGGCAGCTTCAGGTGAGAGCGGCAGCGCCTGCTTGCTCCTGGTGGGAGAGGGTCCCCCCTTAAGCCAGATTTGAGCAGCGCCCGGTACTCCGACGTCCTTCACCTTCCTCCTGCCACGCGCCTGCCTTGCAGGGAAGGGCTTTGGAGGTTGCTGGAGCTTTCCAGGAAACCCATCTTCATCGTCTTCGAGAGCCAGTACCGGGACGTGGCGCACCCAGCCATCAGCCTCCTGAAGCAGCACAGGAGCGCCGTGACCTTGCTGGTGTG